TTGGCTAAAGATAAGGGCGATAGGATACGTCGGCTTCGAGAGTTTTGAGTCACCAACACATTCCGACAATTTCTGCCCATTCCGGTAGAGACAGGGGACATGTACGAACTGTGGATTACAAAGCCAAGTACACTATTCTCAAGTTGCTGCCTGGGTAATTAATGGCTTATTCGATGCAATATCCCCTTATTATTACTTTTCTGCAATATCGCTACTGAAATTTGCAGAAATTGTCGTAAAAAACTTACCGATGAGTCGATTTTACAGCGGTTGTGTTTCACAACTTGTGTTTTTTAGAAAATGACCGATTTATTTGTATTTTCAGCCCTTGAGTAACTACATTTGTTTTATTATGGTTATGTAACAATGTAATGTAACAATGTAATAGACTCTTCAACTAAACAAAAGATACAAACTGATACACGCCACTACCCCCTCCCACCACCACCACACACACTTCATCAAAACAAAGATTGCCGCTACGAGCAGATTTGCATTCAAGTATTGTTCAATAAGTCCGTGTTTACCTGTTGGGGAGTTGGTAGTATGGTCTCTCAGCGGCCCTTTCTCTCTTTCATCATAGCTACCGTCAAACCGGACCCAGTCAAAATCATCGATGCCTCTTGGTTCGTTGCTCCATGTACACAGATCAAACTCAAAGTTACACTCTATCGTGCCATAAGTGTAGTATATCAATGTCGTCACCAGAATTATAATATTAAAATATACGTAGCACACGCATCTCGCCATGCTCTGAACAATTTGTTACTACAGGTCAACCAGATTAAATATCTTATCCACAGAACAAGGTTTAGGTTAGAGCGGGGCGAATGGAAACGTTGCCTCTGCGGCTGTCTGAGTGTAGATTTTAAGAGCTGTGAAGCGATCTCCAGTTCAGCCGTTTGAACTGGGCGTGTTTCGACAAATATGAATGTCGAATTTTGCGACATAATCAGACTGATTTATTGTGAAGGCAGTCGAGACTAATGTATACATTACTATAGTGATGATTAAACAATATAGTTCGGACTCAAATACTAGTAGGTCATCGAACATGCTCGAAGTGTGGTAAAAGTATACTACTAGTATTTTGGTCATTGGCCGTGACTTAGTAACTGTCAGATATTGCAAGGGCCAAAGTGGTAAGGATTGCTAGTAATTCGTTGTTCCCAATCGCCTTAATTGTAGTAATCTTGCGTCATAACTAATTATTGTGCGAATTCATTATTTTAAAGAATTATCATATAGAGTTAATAAAATTGCACTGGCCACCAGCGTCGAACAATTTCGTAAATCACTATTTCGTATTTCGTTGCCATCGGAACAAGCGAACATTGGTTTCGTACTAAAATATTCAAGTTGGAAACTTGAAGTTTTTTTTTTAATTATTGTGTGATGAGTATTAGTTTAATTATGGTGGGTAGTGTGAACAAGGGTGAAATTGTCCCATGCTTACGTCCCGAATTTCGACAAATCAGATTAATTGCTCATGTAGTTTAGATATACAATGTATAACCACGGATATTCTAGAACGCCCATTGGCCAATTCTAGACAGTCGTGGTACATAAAATGACACGTTATTTATACTTTGAAGAAGATAACTTTACTTGAGCCAGTAGCTGATCAGTCAGATTTCTTAGATTCGAGTGGCGGGGGCATATTCGTGAAGAATTTCGTTTTATTTTCTATTCAAGTAACAACATGACTACAAACACGAATCTAATGTGATACAAACTCATTTCATTGCAGCAAGGTGCTACAAACGAGAATCGCGGCAAATTTCGTTCACGCACGGCATGTCAGTTCGTAATCAAAATATCAGCCGCACATAAACACACTTTACCGTGTTTTACTAATGCATAAATGACAACCATGAATATCGGTCATTACGAGTTCCATAACATTAACTGGCCTGTAGTTAGTTGTGTATAATTCCAAGTTGTAATCAGTGTCGCTGTTCATATAAGATTACATTTCCAAACACGTCCACCAAAACAAAAATGCAATCCAACGCTATCGGCGACAGAAAAATACGTGCTGCTTAAACCCAAAATTCAGACTCCGAATACTAACTTCAAACTAGGTACAAATGAAACAATCTGAAGTCCATACCTATAGTTTTGGTATTGAAATGTTTTAACCCATGTTTATACTGTGACTGTGTGTTGGTTTACCAGGTGATTCTAAACTACCTTTTCATAATCAGTATACTGTCATGCATCATGGAAGGTAGACGGATGTCCTATAACCATATTGCAAAGTAATCTAACGCCGATATCACCCAGCCGCAAGACAAATTACCGTAGAGAGATTGTAGTCAAAGTTGAATGCTTGAAAGTAAATTTGTTGCGCCCTCTATTGCTGGTGAATTGACGCCATTGTCGCCATGGTTGGCGCTTGTGAATAATGAATATTACAAGTCGTCGGACGTTGTTCAACTTGATTAGGCATTGTACAAGAATTGTTTGGGCTTGAGTACAATTTCCCACTTCTTTGTCTGTCTTTTTTTTAATATAAAAGCCATATATATATGAGCGGATAATCCTCAAAGAATGGAATCATAAAATTGGACGTTGTCAGAATTGAAAACTTATGTTTTGGGTTCCGTTCGTCCGTGTTACAGCGCTCATAATGGGATTACTGATGCGCGTAACCCTGTTTTGCGATGTCATTCAAAATGGCTGACTGGCAGCCACTTTCATATCAAGTTTCCTACCCGTTTCTCAGGCACACATACATCCATCTGTTTAATTTGAAAGAAAAGGAAAAAAAATGGCTTGTCCGTTACCGGTTTATCATGCAGATGCACTTTCCCTGGTTTTGTTCAACCATAATTGTACCAGAGTTTACAATTAGTTACATTTGGTACAAAGCCAAGGCAGGAAGGTGAGAATAGTTCTTGTGATAGATTCAATGTCTATGTAGGTTTCCCTAATTTTTGAATGCATTGCATTCGCATCAAGTCCTACATGTGGGCTGGGTAATTCTCTTATTTAGTAATAACAAATTAGGAATGATGTAATCAGCGAATAGAACATTTTCCGTTCACTGCGAGAATCACGCGTTATGCATGAATGCGAAAGTAAAAACAGGACAAACAAAGGTCATAGCGTCGTAGTGGCGTCAAACATCGCGTGAGATTCGACAAACGCGAAAGTATTTTGGGGACATTTCCATGTCAATAATATGCTGTACACATTTGATGAAGGGCAATTTCGATTAAGTGAGGATATTCGAATGCAATATTCCTCTGTCGAAGATCGGCCGGTCGATGTGCGCTACGAAATAAAGAAATTCGAGTTCAAAATCAAATCGTTCGATTTTTGCGGCAGACGTTCGACGGGCGTCTTTCATGCATCTGGCGAGATCTCGCAGTTGTACGGAAAATCACCTATTCATTAAACCACAGACTGAGATTTCACTCAAATTTACACTTCAGAGTCACATGACAGTAAGATGTTATCATTTATTTAAATACAAAAAAATTAAGTCACATATATTACTGTTCAATTCTTTTTCTCATGCTGCATCACATAGTAGTGCAGATAAGGCTAATTTTCTAAAGGATCTGCAAGACTATAGAATAAAAAAAAATATTTAAAGTTGTATCTCGATAACACAGGGATAATTTTCCATGGGAAGCCTGAACCCTGCTGATAGTGATGTTTATAAACACCTAATAACAGTGTCTGTTTACTGTAATAATACCGATAGTCAGAAGTATAAATCCTTATCTTTGTTGCTTATTTGAAAATTGCAAAATCTAAACCTGTTGATAGGAGCAGTTTATGGTTAAAAATACAATGTGGATAACTGAGTTAGACTTATCGAAATTATAGAATCACAATTAGCGTAATTCGTCTCATTCGCAGTGTATTCAAATGAAGACAATTATTTAAACGTCATTCACATTGCTTCTTCAAAAATAGATTAATGTTTCAAATTCTATACTAAGACAAATACTAAGGGTTGAGACTTTAGCGGTACAGTCGCCACGCTGCACATACAAACTTTGTATTCTGCATGCATTGTTTACATCACTACGCATCCCATGTCGAACATGTGGCAGCGCAACAACTGTAGAGCTATAATTTGTAAATAACAGTAAAATTATTATATTATACTATTTGACACATTTTGGCTAATAATCAAAAATAAAAAAAAAAAAAACGAATATACTCGTAGCATAAAACAATAATTGTGATGTATATTTTGTATCATATATTAAGTTGCTGTAAAGAATATTTTTTCTGAGCATATATGTCTAATATTGGGGTAAGCTTTAAAATAATAATACAATGATAATAATAATGATCAGTGTTTGATTCTAATTAACAATTTGTTCTGTAGACTTCTTAAACATAGGTAGTTGGTCATTTTTGTTCATGATATTAATTTAAACAACCAGAGCATTCCTTCTTCATAAAATTCAGATGCTAAAAATATTTTTGTTGGCAGTAATTAAAAAAAAAAAAGTAAAAAATAAAGCAATTAATACATCATAAGTCAATAACTGTGCTAATTACACACTAATATAATTATGCGGCTAAACTTCATGAGGTTTAACAACTCCACTAAATGCAAGATTTAAAACAAAGAATAAGTACTGTTTTTGCTGCAAAAAAAAAAAACATTTGCGGTTTAATAACTTGCAGATCCACAGAACCAGAATAGATGTATAAAGAAGAGGGGGTAATTTCCAGAGAAAGGATGCTGAATACATAACTATACAAAATGTCATCATCACTGTTCACAGACGCATGCTGGGAATTAAGACAAAGTACAGAATCGTTATAAAATTTCACAGTACAATTTTTAGACATTGACAGTCACATAGTCTTAACTGATGATAACTTGTGAAGATGAATTAGTGTGACTGAAAGTGAGGGAACAAAATAATCAAACCTAAATATCCCAAAATATTTTCTGTTAATAAAATAATAACATTTACAGTTACCATTTTGTAATTGTTTATTTAGTAATTATGCATTTAAAAGGACAAGTATGGTAAAAAAAAAATAACATATTTGGGGCAGATAATCATCTTGCTACTGCTCGGTGATTACCTCTCGGCAAATCTGCTAATTTTTTCCACAAAAATAAAATATATATTTATACTGGGAAATTTTTTTTTAAATTTATGACTTATTTATCGGTAGTATTTTTCTTTTAATAAGTCTGAAATTTTTTACCAAAAATGACAAAAATACTGTGTAACAAATCAATATTATAATGGCATATTATCCTCCTCATTCTTGGAGAGTGATAACTGAGTAAAAGCAGCAAATAAATATTACCAGTTTTTAGTTCTGCGTTCCATTTTTTCAAAGCTTTACACACATGTACAAGAGATAGAGTGTATAATGTTATGAAATAAAGCCTGCATCCATTCAATGACACCATAGTGTTTTGCATAAGAAATTAGAAAACTCTTCACACCTGATATTGTGAAAAAGTTGTTATCTGGAATGCTAATGTAAAAGTCAAACTAAGACAACAACAAAATCAGTTTCAGGGTCATAACCTAATGCTTGACATCGTAAGAATATTGGCAGAAATATAATTATAGTATTTTACTTGCTTTGTACAAATTCAAATTTCATTCAGCTTATTTCTGCTTGACAGCATTTTATAAGCTGAATATTATGTGTAAACTTTTCCCTTTTTCTGACAATTTTATATTTATCCATGATTTGCATTTGACAGATTTCCATCATTCATGTTTCCACAAATACACTTTCTCACTCCACTTCACTGGTCACCATGTTTTTGTTTTGTTTTTGAGATTTTAAAATATTTTTTGAAGCCTGGCTTATTCGATACCACTGGCTTGTAATACCACATACAGTATCATGTTGTGAATTGCCCAAATAATTATGCACGACGTATTCTGCATGTTGCTTGAGATGACCCGCTATGACGCTATTCGGTAACTTGACACACATTGAACTTTGATGGAAACATGATTGGCTGATCTAGTTGCCTAGCAATGGTACGTGTTCATTCATCATTGGTTGTTTGAATTTAAAAGAAACAAATTTTTCAGAACTCGTCATACATTGCTAAAGTACGTTCTAGATTTTCGGTGATTTTCTTGTAGAATGTGATCTGCTCTCGTAAATATTTCTGCATTGTTGCCTTAAAGTCTCGCACTCTTTCTCCTTGGAAGTGATTTATCTCGGCTGAAAGAGAAATACAAATTAATTACTACATCTTACACAGAGATTTTGTTAGCCCCTGAAAGAACATTTCCCAGACACATATTCCAAATATTTCCATGACAAGGGAAGACTCCTTTCATAGTATGAATACAATACTGAAACATGGTAGTAGATAAGTATAGTGTTACCTATCACATTCTGTGTTATACAGAAATGCATTTTCAGCCAAAAGTATTATTTACAATTTTATGGAAGAACCAAATTTTCATCTTACCCATCAAAGCGTACGATACAATGTCTGCCCTCTGACTCACACTAGCAACATCACTACCATCCATTTTGTTTTCTTCTTGTAATTTTTGGCATTCCTTTACCTTTGATAGAGAACCCTGAAAAGCAACAACAAACTTTCACTCAATTATGTAAATTATGTAATCAGCATGCAATTCATAAAGTTTTTACGACTAGAAGTTATGTTCTCACACGTCTAACAAACGCCAGCGTTAACACTGTTTTTTTGTTGTGCAAATATTAGATAATCTGCTGAATTGTCTGCTCACATTCTCAACGAATCATATCACAGAAAGGTCAATAAACTAATGGAAAGGTCAGTCAACAAAATGCCCCCCCCCCCGGAAATGCATTTGCTTTGTTCCTGTTTTTCCAGGTATTTTTACACTCGAGAAGAAGACAACGACAAACGATTTATCGAGATTTCGAAGAGCAAGAAATCGCTACTTTGATAGGTCGAACAAGACCGAGAAATGATCGGTTCATATTCTCGCTATTAGCGTGTATGAAAAAGGCAGCAATAGACCCAGCAACTCGGGCGATTTGGACTCGACAACACAGAAATAACTGGTGGGAAGAAATAATGTTACGAACATGGGATAACAGAGATTGGTCATTGTATTGTGTTCACACGCCACATTGCATTGTGCAAGAGCTGGTGTGACAACGACGTTTAGGATATGGTCCACCACTTTTACGACGGTGTCAAAAACGCCGACGCCACAACAGCGTATTCTGTTCACACACACATTTTAACAACGTTCTCAAATAAAAGGCATTGTGACAACGGCTTATTTCGTCCAGTGAGAACACCAATTATGTTGACATGTTCAAAAGCAAACTGATGAATTATTTATAATCTATTTCCAGACAAAACAACTAACATTAAAGGCATTTGTGAGAGCAAAAATTAAATGTCACTCCGACTCTGTTCTTAAAGTAAATTGTTGTGTATATGTATGACATATCAGGTAATGTGTTCGTATTGAGTTTGACAGAAATCAGTCAATGCATGGACAAGGTAATGCATGATAAATGACACTAATATCAGACTGACTGACAAAACCAAATTATTAAACTGAACTACAAAACAAGACTAGCATATTAAAATGAAACTCCTACCTTGTGAACATGTAACATATCAGGAAAGGTTGACAACAATCCATCATATTCATGCAACGTTGTCATCATTGGAATTAGATCATATTGGGGTTGTGCTGCATACAGCGTACCTATATCTTCATGAGTCTTACCAGTGTGGTGAATCGCTGCTGTTAGGGCATTTGATTCTAGAAAAATATAAACATTAATGACATTGACATCGCTAGTTATTATTACAAAAGGGTTTCACAAGTAATGGATAAATATTAGATTTTACCCAATTTTACCAATTAAATACAGGTGTTTGTGACAAATTGATGGTGATCATTTGCTTAAATTTCAGGGAGATATATAGACCTCCTTGCAGAATAGCACACAGGCCTTTACATGTATGTACTACATTGCTCTCAGACAATACTTGTGAAATATAATCTCCAACTATAATCCCATACAACAACAGTTAAGACAATCAAGCAGCATGTTTGTGATGGTGGCCATCTTGAACAACATTTCACTGTGTGGAAATGGCCCATTCAATTTGTCTCTGAACTCTACATGTTTAGTGTTTGTATTGTTGGCATGTAGTGAGTGACAAATCAGTCGCCAGCAGTGAAGATAACAGAGTAGTGGGACTTTTATCAAGGTGTTTTTACACCTGGTTATTGTAGATGCAACACACCTATGCTGTACTTATTATTTGTTATTATCAGTAAAACCACATTAATAACATTTAATGTACATTGTTGTACATGATATCTTTAGAATAGAATCATATTTAGAATTTTTAGTGAGAACTAAAGTGCACTACCAGTCCAGAAAATGCACAGCACTACCAGAGCTTGTTGTGCAATTTTCCCAGGATGCCTTTAAGCATCACAGATTCACTCTCACATTCACAGACAGTAAAAGTCTTCTATATTATTACTGGGAAAAGCTTAGGTGTTATTTAAAGCGGGGGAGTCGTCACCTGCGCATGCGTCAGATAGCCATAGCGTGTCATTGTTTACAAACAAGCATCTACCAATGAGCCTTTGCATTTTTAGTGTGTGTTGTTATCGGCGCTTGGGACTCAATTCCCTCACGTGCACAGGTGACGACCCTCCCGCTTTAATTCATTGCAGCAAAATTAATATCCGAAGGATGATATCATATGAGTAAAAAAAATATTGAAAAAATGATTTCTACAATGTTTGATTTTTTTGTTCATTCATTCATTCATTCATCCATCCAACCAGTCTTTCATTCTTTCATTCATTCATTCACAGATACTAACAGAGAATAATACCAAGACTAACCTGGGAAGTTATCAAGTTCGAAGGAATTTGCTAATGCATTAAATGCATTACCAAGCTTATTAAACTCTTTTCTGAAAGCTAGGATAAAAAAAACAACAAATATCAGAATGAGCATTTAGGATTTGCAATCAAAATACTGTCTTGGCTTCAACATTTGTGCATACATTTACATAAATGAAAGTTTATATGTGCTTCTATTGCACATAAAAATGTTAAAAGAAATAGAAATAAATTAAATGTAGGTATCATGAAATCATGTTGATTTCAAAAATCAAGAAACAAAAAAACAAAAATACATTTAAACTTGAAAAATGTTTCCCTAAAAAAGTTTTGGAAAAATTTGTAATGTTGAAAGTGTTAATACAATTTTTAAAAAAATGATGTATAAAATCTGTTCACAACAGACTAGTTCTAGTTCTACTATTCACACAGATTTGTTCTGTATCATAGACTTTTGTTGTACTATATACTTATAATTGTAATTGGGAAAAGTCACAAAGAAAACATCCTGTCAACTCTCTGACATTTCAAATTGTGACTTTTTCTAATGCTTATACCTGTAGCATAGTGTTTTTGTTTTTAAATTATTCTATTGAATAACAGAATTAATATTCTTAGATTTGTATTTGTATGATGTAATCTGTCTCAAATTGGTACATGTACACTCAAAATATAACAAAGCAAATACTAAATTTGCCTGGCCATGTGTTTTTTTTTACTGCTTTAAAATTAATATCTACATTCCTTCTTAATAACTGATAAAATTAAAATTAACTTACGCCCCTGGTGTTTCTTCTCTCGATCGTGTGAAACTTGTAGTAGTTTACTCACACTATCATCCATACTTTTAGTAAATTTACTGAAGTGCTCATGTTGAGATTCACTGCATAAAAAAAGATTCACAAACACTGATTATTCAAGCTACATTGACAGCCATACGGGACCAACAACTAAGTCTTTAAACATGACAAGTTCATTCATAGACTCTATATTAAGTCATCCAATCAAGTAAATCTTGTTATGATAATAGAAAGCACTTACACAGTGGCTGCATCTAAAGGATGTGGTGGTGGCTGAATGGCCAAGAAGATGGTGGATCCAACAAGGTCATCTTTCTCAGCTCTCCGCTTTCCGGCTTTCCACATCTGTCAAATAAAGTTTAAGGATTATGCACGTCATTATTCCCGCAAATCCACGATTATATTTTTTGCAGATTGAACACACTTATATGAATTCATTAACTCCTTTACAGTAATACAAAGTAGAAATGTAATTTTAAGAGCATTCAAGAAAAACAAAATTCACAAAAGTCCCTGTGAACAATTATATTTTTCAATACTACATAATATTCAGATATTCACTTGTGAAAAGTTCTTGTATCATCAATGACCAATTCACAAATTTTGTAATCTTGGAATCATCTTCAGAAATATAGCAAAATTATTACCTTGTCATCTGTGCAAGTTAAGAAATGGGTAAATACAGCTGCTCTGGGTATAATAGGGTGCTTAGTCATCCGGTCTAACCAAGCCTGTAACTGATTCATTCTCCCTTGAATGAAATCATCTTCATAACGACCTAGAAGAGCCAAATTGACAGGAATGCATGCATGTATATTAAAATTATTATGCATTGGACCAACATGCCTGGCGTCAGAAATTATAAACAGTCGAATTAATAAATCTTTCTGTTCTAGCTGTCAGTACTAATAATTCATCTATGCGTTCAGCGACAAGGTACCCAGACAATCAATTATCCGAACAGTGAATCATTTTCTAACGAGTGAGTATATATTAGTACAGAGTATAAATAAAATTATAAATGCAAATTATTTAATTCTTAGACTTTTTTTTTTTTAAGTGTGTCTGACTAAATTCTTAAAATCACTGTTTACTCAGTTACTCACCTGTGATTTGCTTGTCTGGCAATGGAGGCACGGCAACAAAAGCAAATTTTTCTACTAATCTATTGTACAACCAATCAAAGTGTTTATACCTTCTACTAACTTGTATATTCGTATTCTACGTAAACAAAAAAAAAGTGTGTATATTTTTTTTATTATTTTCAGTTTTCTTGATAGAATTTTTCTAATTAAAAGTGAAATTAACATGTTAATCAAATTATTTATTACTAGCATTTTGAATACATTTGAAGGAAATTTTCTTGTGAGGAAATGAACATTGCCTATAATCTACACAGTGTTTTCTCACTATGCATACTCCACTATAAATGCCTAGGTATGATGCTAATAATATCTCATTATCTCATATTTAAATTTTGCAAACATCGAATACTATGGAAAATCTTGAGAAATAAAATACTTCATGTTCATTTTTAATCAACCAATCAAATTTCAGGTCATTAGCTGAGTGCAAGTAATGATTACTAGCATCGTGCATAGTAGTTACGGTAGTGGAGTGGTATATGTATATACATAGATTCTAGGCAAGAAATATTAAGGCACGTAATATCATTATACTGCCATATTCAACTTTTTGAAAGTTTCTTGCAAATGAATTTTAAATGTTTGTTTGCTAATTACTATTTTAAATTTAAATAAACTAAACGCAACATAAATTTAACATTGTTTATACATTTTTTGAGTTTCAAATTGTTATGAACATTTTGAACCAAATTTGAACAGCAATATTTTATAATGACAATGCACTAATGAGACACTGTACCTAAGCTCTGCACAGCACACAATTATATTCAAAACATTCAACACAAAATGTTGTTACTGAAAGAATAGATTTAATTATTACTACATATTACTGTACTGCATATTTATTTTTAATACTTATGATGCAGTGTATCCATGCTGTATTTTATGGCAACAGGATAAATCCTCATCGTGACTAAAAATATCTTCCATACCCTCACAAGCTTCAGGGCATTTTGTAATGGGAGATATCAAGAGATATTAACATGAGACGACTACTTACTGATGGCGTAACTTGATAACAAATATAACTTTTAACTCCTTTGTATTTACTTTCTTTTTTCGGATTAGCTATCGTACATGTGAATGGCTCTGGGTTGACTTCCCACATCGGACCTGATTCAGTTTCCTAGAAACGAAGAGAACAATGATGAAGATATTTCAAAAAAAGCATTATGGATTCAAAGATGTATATTGCATTGTCAATTAAGACATAGTTTCTTACAAAGTGAAGACTGATAAATGCAGTTATTGACTGAATCAAATCGGTTAATGCATGTGACATCTTAGTAACACAGGAAAAAATATTTTCAAAAACAATATGGCAGCCAAATATCTAACCATCACTGTTATAAAATCAACCCATTATGCTTACTTGTGTTAAGATTATAAAATCAATCACTCTATTGTATGTCTGGGAAATCTTAGAGACAGACAGATGGGCTGATTAATAAAAAAACTTAATCCCAGTTATAAATAAAAGAAATCTACATATACATGCATAGATTGAAAATGCTCAGACTGTTATTGATTCTGTTTCTGGAATAATACAAACAGGGCGCTAAACATAATTTTAATTCAGGTAAAACTAATGAGCATGTACCTAATGATTTCAGAAAAGTTCATGTATTAGTCACGAGTGGAAGGCAATATTGTCTAGCAAATATAATACATGTGAATGAATAAATAATGTAATTGGTGCACCAATTGTCAGAATGATAAAAAACATGTGGTGTGGATAGCGGTGGGTGGTTTCATTCATATGTATATACAGGTGACTCAAGTCCTGAATTTGGAAGTTTGTAAATATATCCTTAGAGGGACATTCTGTTTAGTACAATTATAGTTATCAACAGTTTGAATGCAAATTTATATTAATAATACCAAACATACAAATTCATTTACATCTAGAACATAGTTTGAATATACTTTAGATAGTGAAACAATCACTAGATTTATTTTACCAGTTTTGATGGTACAGAAATATTCACTGGGTTTAAAATTTACTGGTTTGTGAAGAAAAGAATATATACTATGGTTATATTTTGCATATTCACTAGGTTTTAATTTAGAAAGTTTAGCTATCAACGAAGTAAGCAGCTAATAATTAAGCCCTGTACAGTACTATTAGATTACGCAGACACATTCTTCATATACTGTGAAGCCTGCAGTAAAGGTAACCAACAGAAGCAACAATAAAGGTGAGTACAATAGTCAATTATTTAAAAAGTTTATAAAGACTTAATGTGTTCATTTAAAGCATTAAGCACACAAATAAACCCAACAGAATATTTTATTTTTGCTTGCGATTGATTTACGCTGTTTTCGTTGAAGGGTTTATTCAGTGAAAATAAAATCCAGCAAATATACTTTTTTTCCCTATATTTTACATTCCACACATCAACAATCAGTGAAAATAAACTCCATACAAAACACCCAACAAATCTTTTCAGTGAAAATTAATTCCAGCTAAATTTTTTTTTTTTTAACCAGTACTGGTATAGGTTTAATGAGAGACACCTGAGTTAATACAATGATGAATGCCATTAAGAAATACTAAATCTCTAATTAATGAGAAACTGTATGCAAAAAACATTAATTTATTTTAAATCTATTGATATACCTCCTCCATTTAGACATGGAAAACTGCCATTTATTAATTTTTTTCTGCCAAACTTTTTTTTTAAATTCCTCAATTTTTTTGTACTTTGCTTTTCCCCAGAAATGGACTTCTCAATGCAAGTGCAACCACTAATTTTCAAACTGAGTAAGACACAGCGAATACAAAAAAAATTAATAAATTTAAAGTTAATATTTTCTGTGAAATCTTTAGTAAAATTTGGAAATTACACACGACCACTTACAACATTGAATGACACTAAATATCAAAGTAGCTTTGTTGTTCCTCAATAAACTAAATGCTTTATTGACCCCGGCCAAGTAAATAAAATAATGTCATCTAATACACACTACTAGAAGTCACTGATATTTTACTATGTTTTTGCTAAGAGCAATATGCAGGCAATACTGGCTCATGTTACCATGGTTCCTAACACAAATTTGTTTTAGTTACATTATACAGTGCTAGCTGAATATAAGCATACTTTTTGATGGTGATACCCAAGTTCCCCAGTCATAGAAAAAAAACACTGTTTTATAATGGTAGTACATGTATTAAATGACAAGCAGCATGTCAGCTGAGATAGCTCCGCTGTTAGCAATGCACATGGCAATTAAAGAACAGAAGATATCATTAGAAAATGAACAAATCTGAGAGAGGTCCACATGTAGTACCTATATGTATAATATATCAAAGTAATTGGACTTGCGGTTTTCAACAAGAAGTCGAAAATATCACTTTTTACCAAAAATTACAAAAATATTCATCAAAATTAGAGAATTGAAGATATCATTACAAAATGAACAAATCTGAGAGAGGTCCACATGTAGTACCTATATATGTAATATCAAAGCAATTGGACTTGCGGTTTTCAACAAGAAGTCGAAAATATCACTTTTTACCAAAAATTACAAAAATATTCATCAAAATTAGAGAATTGAAGATATCATTACAAAATGAACAAATCTGAGAGAGGTCCACATGTAGTACCTATATATGTAATATCAAAGCAATTGGACTTGCGGTTTTTAACAAGAAGTTGAAAATAACACTTTTTACCAAAAATGACAAAAATATTCACCAAAATTAGAGAATGAAATCAACAAATCTAAGAGAGGTCTACCCAAGGTACATATACACCAAGTATCAAAGCATTCAGGCTTGTAGTTTTCAAGAAGAAGTCGAAAAAGTAAAACATTGACACGGACGACCACGGACAATCACTCATATAATAGGCTCAGCTCGACAAAGTCGACAGTGGGGCTAAAAAAGGAAAAAGCTACACGACAAACAGTTAACTTTTAGAATTATACTTAGTCAGGCAAAAATTACATTTTCCATGACACTTTACTATGACATTATAAGTATAGCATATCAATATGGCATCTGAATGTAGCATATATTCCAGCACAAGGCAGTGAATAAGTACAAAATTATGTAAATCTAGAGAAAATGACTATTTTTATCTGTGCAATTCAGACTTATTTTAATCACTTCAAATCTCTTCCACAGGTGTGGTCTGGTTAATTTTCAAAGCAGAGTAATATTAGTAAGCCGAACTGAATGTGGTGAGCCAGACAGACCAGAATGTGGTGAGCCAGATAGACCAGAATGAGGTGAGCCAGACATCTATTTTTCGCATCATGGAAGACACATTTCCACAATAAAACACCCTATGAATATACTCAGGGATTACAAAAATGCAGGGTATTATTTCCTGTCTATGTTAAAGATTAACTAGAATGTAAATTTACTCTGACTCAAAATTAAATTAAAACTTGCTATGCATAAGAGGAATGTCTGTAAGTATAATGTACATAATAAACTCAAGAAACATTCTTTTCTGAGAGGTATCAATTTATTACTGATTCAATATAGTCTTAATTGGTTATTAATTAAACCAAACACATTATGTTAATTATAAATAGTACTATGAATAGTTTTTAATTGGAAAGCTGAAAAGGTAAATGTATACAAATTAAAAAGCCAAAGCAAAATCACTTTTTAAACCAATTAAATTGTTTCAGGTCTATAATTTTAGTGTTCATTATTAATTTTAAATAATAAATAACCCCTCTGGGAACATAGTCGCAATATTTTACAGCAGATTTTATTTAACTATGTCATCTCAATCACCTGACCAGCTTGCACCATACTAGGGTTTGTTCAAGTCATAAATACCAATTGCAAAAAGTGTTAAATTTTATTAATACATGTATATGCAATGTTTTCATAATTTTTCACTTTATACTAAACACACCAGTTGTCGCTATATAACTGCAGATCCTTGGCATTTTTTTTTCGTATCAGTCAAAAAAAATATGTTGGTTTTCAAAACTACTGATCCTACACGACAGGGGTTGATTTCCAACACTTCTTGCAATCTTTATACTATTATGAGATGAGATATGCAAATAAATAAATTTTAAGAGTGATATGCCAAGTATGAGATGTTAGTAGTGAAGTACTTACATGAATCCTGATATGCCAAGTATGAGATGTTAGTAGTGAAGTACTTACATGAATCCTGATATGCCAAGTATGAGATGTTCGTAGTGAAGTACTTACATGAATCCTGATATGCCAAGTATGAGATGTTCGTAGTGAAGTACTTACATGAATCCTGATATGCCAAGTATGAGATGTTCGTAGTGAAGTACTTACATGAATCCTGATTTGTTGTTCAACTGGTACATTGGCCTTAGCATTACCTAGAATGTAAGCTTCACCTCCTGTCTTCACAAAAGTTGAAAAACTGAAGAAAAAAAACAAGAGAAAAAAGCTGATAATGACATGATGTCACACAATGTACCATCCTCATACTTGTGATAAATTGGGAGGAAATATCACAATGGGCACGTAAAGATAAATGTTACAATGTTCAACATTGAATGTCATTATTTTATGCAATTTGAAACAGTGTGCAAAGTACAACCATGTGACGATGTCGTATTTACCACAGCAAAAAACAATTACTCACATGATTCAGCCAAAAGAATGAAATGACTCACCGACTAAATCCTTTTGGTTTGATAGTGGCTGTTTTGCTGTCTGTCCTTCTTGCAACACTATTGGTGCCAGTATCTGTTGGAGATCCAACTGCATGCTATAAATAAACATAAGTAAGGTGATTGCTTGCATGTACGAGCATGAGGTTGGGTTTATGTTGATCATCAATGAAAAACCATTGGCAGACTTCGATGATTTTGATCAAATTATGCAATAACACAGCCAATGGTAATACAATATGAGTATAGTATCTGTGTGCAAACTTTCAACTGAATCAGGCATTATATTGAGAAATCAACATGAATATAAACAAAATGACCACCAGTCGGCCATTTTCAGTTGAATCTTGAAACAAATATGATGTGCACTTGTAACCCAATATGCATTATCCTGATACAAAATTCGAATAAAGTCGTTTAGCAAACTTCTATACCAAAATGGCTACCAGTCAGCCATATTTTATCAAATAGTAATGAAAATTGGTGTACATATGTAAGTCATAATACATGGTCTTTGTGTTGATAATCTTGAATAAAAACAGATGAATGAATGGACAGACAGAACCCAAATAAACCTCCACCTGAATTACAATCAAGAATATTAGAATCTCTGATAGGTGATAAAAAAACGGTATCATTGGTCTGCGTCAATTTGAACAATTTGGTGTAACTTGATTTTGTAATTGACACACAGCTGAAGCTGATTACCAATTCGGTAACATCGGTTGTACTGGTAATATTCTTTCAAATTTTATGTTTAACAATCTGTGTAACAGCGGATGATAGTGTGATTTTGATGCATACAAACACATCATTCTCCAGTCATCAGGTGACTTTGACAATGGCAGCATTCCTTAAGATTTGTGGAGATCAAACCAACCAAAAATTGTCACAAACATCTACTATAGATTGTAGTTACATAACATTAAACATGTATTGCTAAAGTTTTTCAGTTTTAATACTGGCAAGCTCAAGTGTTTTGCACAAAGAATTATTATTCAGTTCAGTTCAGTCTTAGAAAAAAAGAAATCTTTGCATTTAACCTAAAGTAACATACTAGGCACAAGCAATGATATACTGGTTCCACATTTAAGACTCTGCTTTTTCACTCTTTCAGAATGTATAGAAATATGAATTTGATAAATAAATCCTCTAATGATAACTGGGGGATGACATCAGCAGTAACTTTTGAGTATCAAAAGATTAGATCCTCATGACTAGGATTGATACATTACTCTGCCTGAATTCACTCAAGGTTGCTGACCCAAGAGAAAATATTTCTAGGTTATATATAATTATGATTTTTAAAATGTCTGCAATACTTACTTGTCCCCTGCCATCAGAGTATGTACTACTATCGTCATCATCCCAGTCATCTTCATCCCAATCATTATCGGGTGTACCACCATCGTACGTCTGTGAGTTCTGCCCATCATACTGATCTGCTAGTGGTACTGGAAATGCTGGTGGAGGCGCTGATGGCGGTGGGTGTCCACTCGTTATTAACTATAACACAATAAGAAGTCGGTTACAGTCAAATTAACATTTGATCCATTCATTAATAGTCACCTTGACTGTTGAATTTATAGGCCCCATACTTTACATAGCAATATAATATGCATGTGATTACAACATCTACCTCTCTTACAACTTTTCTGAGAATTATTCGGACTGTCAGTTAGCTTGTAACTTTGCAAAACTCTTGGCTTTTGATTTGCTCACCATTTGTCTGATAGCAAGCTGTGTGGGATTCACTATTTTTATAAAGAATGTTAACATAGAACTAAATTGGCTAATCTATAGTTCCTATTCAATAACTTTCCGTCATTTCTTGAGTATCGATATCTACGATGTATGTGATTCAAGAAATATTAAAACACTTCAAAAAAACCTGTTCATGTATTCAAATGAACGTAGTATAACAAAATGTGTCAATGAAACGGCTCCGTCAATTCTAAATTGAACAAAAAACAAAGTGTTTTGCAAAAGTTGCATGCCATCTTGCTAACAGACATTTCAAAATGATTCTGAGAATGGATGTGAAACCACGATAATCAGATTATACAAATATGCGAGTCATTGAAATGTGCAACATTCCACGGCATCCCATCACTATCAGTGACAGTAGCCAAGGAACAAATAAAGATCAACATTTACATATAATTAATTATCAACGTGCACAAATCATTGAAATTGAGAATGTAATGAGTTATACTATTAGAAACAGATAACATACCCTGTTCCACTTAGACTACATAAACATAAAAATGAAACTAATAGGTAACCTCATTGTTATATATTCATTCTTTCCGTTCCCTATTTCATTCATCTACAAATTAAATCCTACAAACATGTTCTCCAACTACTAGTAAGTTGAAAAAATTCTATTCATAAGCTACCGTAATCTTGTTATTGTCCAAACAACTATACATTAGCATATTTTCTTAATTTCCAACTAACCATCACAAATCACAAAGGTGACAATATAACTTATAAATATTGACAGAAAAAGCATCTATATTTTTTTGCAGGCATTCAGTGAGCAAGGGAATTGAAAGTGTGGAATGTCAATAAAAAAGAATACTTTGTTAAAAACATGTCATATTGAAATATACCTCAACATATGCAGCAGGAAAGAGACCGCTTTCACCTCGGTCTGTGTATCCTTCCCACCATCCTTCCCCTACATCTTGATTTGTCACCGTGAGAATGTCATTTTCTTTCACCGATAGCTCACCATGAATGGTGTCACCTTCAAAGTCATACAAGGCTTTTGCCTAAAATGATACCAAAAGAAAACTTATTTCAATTCAATAAGTACAGTAAAAACATAGTACAGTGAAAAATTTGTAGGATTTCTTAGGGAATATATATACATTTGTGTATTATTCGTTCTAGTGGTAGTGCATACTTTTGCATGTAAGTAAATGACAGAGGCATGTTGAAAGTGAATACAAGTCATATTTTAAAGATCCAGTATATAATAAATGCATTAATTTTGGTTTACTTGGTCTTATAATCTAGCAAAAATGATAAATTTCATATTTGTTATCAGCATGTACATGCCTTGTACGATATATAACCTCTGGTTATGCAACAGAACACTGCTGCTGATTTCCAGCAATTACATAATTGGAGGACGTACATGTGTAGCTGCGTAAATGCATTGTGGGTAACATTTTGGCTATCATAGTAGATTAAGACATTTGTTCTGGTAATGCAGACCATAGCTAGTGGACCAGATGATCAAGATGTTAACAGTTCCCACCATAAAACTACATCTAATTTGCTACTACAACCAAAATCATTATTTTCATGAGTGTCCCATATCTCTTTTTCATTCAAAATTTTGACAAACTTTAAAAATTTCCATGGAAACAATGATCTTTCCATATCGCATGAAATCCTAATTTGGCATCCAATTTAGAAATGTCCTTTTCAGAAGAGAGTGTTAGCTATGACATTTCTTTACACTATAATTCAAATCACTTTTGAAACAGTCAAAAAACCTGTAAAATAATAAAGACCCCTCCATGACAAGAGTTAGTTACCAGAGGCATAGGTACATATAAAACACTGTATTCATTACTACTATGGTACAAGATAAAATGGAAGATAGATTTTTTTCTAAAATGTCATACTATTTCAGAAAAATAATTTATTCAAGATTTTGATACCAAAATATTAATAAAACAAACAATCAAAGTCTTAGAATAGAATTGATCAAATTTCAAAAGTAACACTACCAGAATATATAAACACAAATTTATGATACAACAGCTGAATTGAATAGGAGGTTATAATTTGATTCAAGCTCAGACTAGTAATACAACAGACTCGCAACGCGGCGTTTTCTTTTGAAGTAATGCGTGCCACGTTTGTTTAAGTTATCAGTTCTTATCGTACCGAGTAAACGTTGCTGAGCAACAACATTTTCATTATATTTCACAAAATAACGCGAAATCTATTCATATTACAATCAACTATCGCGATGCATCGCGAGACATAAGACAGGAAGTGGCATTGACGACAGTAGTGATAGTGAACTTCGAAATGGCAT